CATCCCCCATGTTCCTGGGTATATGGTACCCCCTTCTTGCAGTAGTCCTTAGTCTGGGAGAAGAAAGGGCAATGGCATCCAAAGTCACTGTCACTCTTGGGTTTGAAGGGGACTGAGAGAGGGGTCTGGCACCCCTTAGGAGGGCAGTCTCCAGTGCCCACCAGACTGGTGATAGAGGTTTGTGAGACAGTGTAGGTCTCCCGTATCTTAAACCTCCAAAAGTACCCTCTGGCATTAGCCTGCCCACTCATGGAGGGGAGGGTGAGGACCAAGAATGAAAAAAGAGAGTCAAGGCACATCCTTGGGGGCCAGGGAGGGAACATGAACCCGAGAGATGTGAAGTTTCAAGGGGTATCCAGGGGAAGGGGTGCAAATGAAGATGGGGGGGTGAAGGCGAAGGGTCACTAGGATCGCTCTGCCAGTTGTCTCTGGGGGGCTGGGCTGGCTTTAGCCTGGAAATATGAATCCAAGATGTTAGTTTTCCCAGAGTCTCTTCTATTTGGGCTGTGGTAGGAGTACAGAGGATGATTTTAAAGGGCCCTTTCCATTTTGGGGTGAGGGGTTTCTTCTCAGGGAAAGGGGGAGAAAAATAGACCCAGTCCCTTGGGTTTAAAGGGAAAGAGAGATGAGTGTGTGAAGGGTCCGGAGATAAGGTGTCATGGTGTCACCATAATTGGGTTCGAATGAAGGAGAGAAGAGGAAAGGTGAGGTGCCCTGGGAAGGAGCCCGGGGAGGAGGTGATTCCCGAAGGCAAAGCTGGGCGACCAAACATTAACGCAAAAGGGGATATTTGTGTGGGCTTCCATGGGACCACCTGTAGGCAGAAGGAGGCTATTGGAAGGAGTTGAACCCAGTCTATGTGTAGTTCTAAGGTGAGTTTGGTGAGAACCTCCTTTAGTGTACGGTTGGAGCATTCTACCTTCCCTGATGAGGAGGGGTGGTTAGGGATGTGGAACTGCCATGGGATATTAAGGGCCTTGATAATTGTTTGGGTCACCTGGGACATGAACTCTGGGCCATTATCTGATTGGAAGGAGGTAGGCATCCTAAACTGAGGAATGATATGGCTTACAGTAATAGATGCCACAGTTGTAGCCCTCTTATTGGAGGTTGGGAAGGCCTCCACCCATCCCAAGAAAGTGTCTACCAGAACCAGAAGGTACTTGTGTCTCTTTACTCTGGGCATATTTGTAAAGTCTACCTGCCAACCCGCCCCCGGGATGTGTCCCCTGGCCTGGTGAGTAGGGAATGGGCTGGGCCTCAAAGGGGTGTGTGGGTTAGTCCTCTGACAAGTGGGACATGTGGAGGTGAGGTGGTGTAGATCTTGGGAGTCTTCTGGAGTAAGGGGGAAGAATGAGTTTAAGAAAAGTTTGAGATTTTGAGTGCTAGTGTGGAAGATGGAGTGTAGATATGAAAGGAGAACGTGTCTAGGAAGTGACTCATGGGCCGGTTCAGGAGTCTGGTCCTGAGGTTGTGCGAGAGCCAGAGTGGAGTAGTTCTCCCCTGCCGCCTGTCGGGCAGCCTGATCTGCCTTAGAATTGCCCCTAGTAATGGGTGATGAATCCGTTTGGTGGGACCGGCAGTGGGCGATTCCAATCTTAGAAGGAAGGAGAGAGGCCCGGAGTAGGTTGGTAATGAAAGCAGAGTTGGTGACAGAGGTCCCTCTTGTGGTTAATAATCCCCTTTCTTTCCAGATAGCTGAGTGAGAGAGGAGGATGTGGAAGACATCAGTGTATAGAGTGAGAGAATGGTCAGCCGCCAGCTCAAAAGCCCTTGTAACTGCAAATGGTTTAGCCTGCTGATTGGTGGTACTGGGAGGGAGGGGCTGTGCCTCGATGGTTTGGGTTAAGGACACTATAGCATAACCTGCTCTCTGTATATCCTCTACATATGAGCTGCCATCAGTGAACCAGGTATAGGTGGAGCCTTGTAGGGGCCCTTCCTGGATGTGTGAAGGGCAGGGGAGAAGGGCCTCCAGGGTCTCGACACAGTAGTGGGTAGGCATGGCGGTAGAGGTGGGCAGGAGAGTGGCAGGGTTTAAGGAGGAGCAAGCACGGAGGGTAATGGAGGAGTCATAGAGGAAGGAAACAAGAAGCGACAAGATCCGGCAAGGGGGGAGTGTTCTTAAGCCCTTATAGGTGAGAAGTTCTGCCAGGTGGTGGGGGGAAATGACTGTGATTGCCCCCCTGAAAGTGAGTTTCTTTGATTCTGAACTAAAACATAGGCCGCTGATAAGGCCTGTAGACAGGGGGCCCATCCCTGGATTGTGGGGTCTAGTTTTTTTGATAAATATGCTACTGGGGCAAATGTGGGACCCTTGTCTTGACCCAGAACTCCCAAGGCTAAGCCTTTATTTTCATGGACATAGAGGGTGAATGGTTTCTGGGTGTCTGGCAGGTGGAGGGCCGGGGCCTGGAGAAGTGCTTGCTGAAGGTGTCGGAAAGGGGTGTCAATAGAGGTAAGTAAAGGTTCAGAGGAGTCTCCCTTAGTGGCATCATATAAGGGGGCTGCCAGGAGGGAATAGTTGGGGATCCAGACCCGGAAGTATCCGGCCAGTCCCAAAAAGGAAAGAATTTCTTCCTGCGTTTTGGGAGCCGGCATTTCCCGAATGAGCTGTTTTCTGTCCAGAGTAATTGCCTTAGAGTCATGGGACAATTGAACTCCCAGGTATGTAACTGTTAATTGAGAAAGTTGGGCTTTGTGGAGAGAGGCCCGATATCCCTTGTCCACCAGAAAGTTTAAGAGTAAAGTGGTGTCGGTTTTAGAGATGTCTAGAAGGGCTACATAAGAGTAAATCATCTATGTATTGGAGGAGAGTGGACCTAGGGAGATGGAGATTTTTGAGATCATTAGCAAGCGCCTGTCCAAATAGATGAGGGATATCCCTAAAACCCTGAGGGAGGACTGTCCAAGTGAGCTGTTGTGAGTGGTGTGTGTGTGGGTCCGTCCAGGTAAAAGTGAAAATGTCCTGTGAGTCAGGGGAGAGGGGAATGGTAAAAAAAGCATCCTTGAGGTCAAGGACCGAGAAGTAAGTGGAGGAGGCAGGAATAGAGGAGAGAATGGTGTAAGGGTTAGGGGCGAGGGGGTGTATGGATTTAACAGTGTTATTAATGAGTCTAAGATACTGGATGAGGCAGTAGGTGCCGTTTGATATTTTTACAGCTAGGATGGGGGAGTTGTATAGGGAGTGGGTAGGTCTGAGGAACCCCTTTTGAAGTAAATTGTTAATGATTGGTTGTAGTCCCAGCAGGCTGGAAGTAGGGAGGGGGTACTGAGGCTGGCACAGAAAGCGATGGGGATCCTGTAAGAGAATCTTAATGGGAGGACAAGTGGCCAGGGAGGGAGTATTAGTGTCCCATACCTTGGGGTCCACCCCTGAGGGAAGAGTCTGGCTAGTGGAATCAGAAGGGCCGGCCATAGCCATAAGGGCAAGAAAGGGAATGGGATAGAAGTTAAATGAGATGGAGGCCCAAAATTTGGTCAAAATATCTCTTCCCAGTAAAGGGGTGGGACATTGGGGCATGACTAGAAACTGGTGGGTGAAAGGATGACCTGAAAAGGAGCAGGAAAGCATGGGGGTCTTTCTGGGAAAAATAGTTTTGTCCCCGTACCCCGACAATAGGGGTTTGTGATGGGCTGGTGGCCCCCCAAAACTCTGTCAGAACCGAAAAAGTGGCACCGGTGTCCAGGAGGAGGCAGATGGGGCGCCCATCAACCAGAAGGCTTACCTTGGGCTCCAGAAATGAGATGGTAGTTGCCGGGAGGGAGTCCCAAGGCCCCTTCAATTGTCAGTTGCCAGCCCTATGAGGTCAGGACTGGAGCAAGAAGCCGACCCGGCCTCCTGCCAGGAGCCAGGGCAATCAATCGCCCAATGTCCAGGGGCATGGCATTTAGGACAAGACCGGGGCAGCGGCCTGGGACTAGGGCAGACATTGGCCCAGTGTCCCTCTTGTCCACATTTGAAACAAGGGCCTAATGAGCTCCTGTTTGGTGGGCGTTGACTCCCCCATTTAATTTGAGGGTTTGGGCCTCTCATAGCCTGAGCCAGCATCTGGTATTTTTGGTGTTTTGCCTTTTCATCCCGGGAGTGGAACACTTTGAAGGCAGTCGCCAGCACTTTGGTCTGAGGAGTCAGGGGGCCTCTATCAAGTTTTTTTAGTTTAGCTCTAATGTCGGGGTAATTTTGGGAGAAAAAATAAATCATAAGGAGCTATCTACCATCTGTGGAATCTGGGTCAATGTTGGTGTATTGTTGGAAGGCCCTGGTCAATCTATCTAGGAAGGTAGAGGGGTTCTCTGTTTTGTCCTGGATGATTTCTTGGAGTTTCTCAAAATTAATGGCCTTTTGTCATGCCTGTTTTAGTCCTGCCAGGAGCAGGTGGCAAATTGGTCTCGGAGAGTAAGTCCAGCCTGGGTGTTGTAGTCCCAATTGGGATCATGATCAGGCACCACTAGGGCACCAGTAGGGTGAGCAGGACTGGTTTGATGGACCTCATCTGCGTACGTGCGAGCCTGTTCCCAAACCCTTCTACTGTTAGGAACAGGAGTCCTATTCCCCTGAGAGACAGAAAGCCAGCTGAGAAGGTAACCACCAAAGCAGAGTTTATTTAACTGGCTTGCCAGGGTCGAGCTCCAGCATGGACACGCAGGACCAGTCAGGAAAGCTCGACCCCCAGTCTTCTTAGGGGAAAGCTTATATAGTCCATTTCCAGCCGTTACAACGAGAAACCCGCGCATTTCTTAACCAATGATTTTGTAACATCCCCCGCTATTTCAGCCTATTGAGCAACAGAACAGTAACAAGCATATTTCGTTTTATCTGCATTGGGCAGGCAGGCAGAACACGTCCTGCACGTAGCTCACATCTTGCATGTCTCCCCTGCTATCGTGTCTGAGTCATGTCCTGCTGCTTTGTTCATCTTATCTATACCAAAGGGGGGGGTGTGGTTTTGTCTGTCACAGCAGAGTTCAGTCCCTCTCATTCCCCCCTTTTCTTGGACCTAAACTGAGGAATCATCCTCGAGGGGATGAAAAGCTTGATACTGTTGGCGGAGGACCAAAAGTTGGATGGTGTTAAGTCGACCTTTGACAAAAGCCATAAGCCGGTTTAGAATCCAGGGCCCTGCGGTGGCCAGTAATAGAAGGACTATTATTGGTCCTGCTAATGGAGAGAGAAGGGTAACAAACCAAGGGGACTGGTTAAACCAAGGTTCGAACCATCCTTCTTTGGCCTCCCTCTCCTTTTTTCGTTGCTCCAGTCCTTCCCGAAGTTTAGACATAGAGTCGCGAACGACCCCGGTGTGGTCGGCGTAAAAGCAACATTTCTCTCCCAGAGCCGCACAGAGGCCTCCATTCTTAAGGAACAGTAGGTCGAGCCCTCTCCGATTTTGGAGGACCACTTTAGATAAGGAAGTTAGAGACTTTTCAAGGTGACTAATAGATTTTTTAATGCGGTCTAGGTCTTTATCTATGGCTGCCCTAAGGGAGGTGAGGCCTGATTGTTGGGTGGCCAGGGAGGCTATGCCAGTGCCTGCCCCGGCCAGGCCTATCCCGAATAGGGTAGCGATAGTTAATGTGGTAATGGGCTCTCTTTTCGTCCGAGGGCGATGAGACCAATAAAGAATGAGATGTTTAGCTGGGTGGTAGAGGATTCTGGGTACCACTATTACCATCAAGCAAAACTCCCGGGAGGCATTAAAAACTGATCCAGCCAAATGGGGAGTCAGCCCAGTTAGTGAGCACGTCTACCAGGCACCTCCATCCGGAGTTATCCAATGAGAGGTATTCCAGTTTGGGTGTTCATTTATGGTGGCACATAGCCTTTTATCCTTCCTCGGGACCTTCCCTACACAAGTTCCTCGGCCACTGACCTGAGCCATGGTTAGGCCGGCGGGTTGGGCCTCCCAATTTGTTGTTGGAACAGTGGCGTTAACTGCAAAGGAGGAGTTAACCCCTATGGCCTCGTAAAAAGGGGGCGATGGACTGTAGCAGAGCCAGCAAGCTTCAGTTAGATTAGGGGCTGTCCTATTCAGGGTCTTAAATGTGGCAAGCAATAAGGTTTCTAAGGGGTTAGGTGGTGGTGTGAAGGGAATGGTGGTAGTGGGCCCTGGAAGCGTTATCTTGGGACTTTGGGAGCTGCTGGGAGCAATACTTTGGAATGTCTGGGGGTTTTGGGTTGTGTGCGGAACTAACTTGGTTTCCGACAACTCTGATTTTGACTTAGGATTAGGTTTTAACACAGGATTAGGTCCTATAGGGTTAGAGATAGGCTCAAGGCAACAATATTTGGAATAGGACCCCTCTCCATGGCCGTTTGTAGGGCAGGAGACCCCATGTCAGTCCGCTTACCCATCTCCGCTCCTTCTTTCCCTTTTCTGTAAAGGAGATCTTTACTAAATTTGACCCTTGCTCCACCTGCCATCGGTTGTAGGGTTTAACAAATTGCATAGTAATCAAGTCTGGGGTTACTGCCCATTTCCATTTACCATCATTGGTCACTACACATTTCCAGTGGGTGCAATAAAAGCTTTCTATACCCCCACAGTCCCGGCGCCATGCGCCGGACTCATATCCTGGGCAGGCGAAAAACCCGTTGGAGTGGAGGGCCTGGCGGTCAAGGAGCGAGGATGTATCTCCCAACGCCCTTTTTCTCATATAATGCCCTTGCTGCTTCTGGGGGAGATTGTAGAAAGTGCCCAATACCATTTCTAGATCTACATACAGTTTAGGCCACCAAGTCCATTGAGCGGCTGCTGGGTGCGAGGTTAAGTTTCATTCTTCGTGGGTGTCTCCGCTCCTCAAGACCCAGGTCTGTTTGTATGGTCGATGAGAGTTGTTTCCGGTCACACCCTGGAGGATTACCAGTAGGATACCTAAGATGGCTGTGGGGAATAGAGGACGTTGCTTTCGCTTCCAGGAGGGTCCCGCACCAGCCGGAGCTTGAGTGGGTTTGTGCGATGCTTTTGTGCAGACCAATTTTTCTTTTTTTTCTCCGGAGGGTGTGCCCGTCTTACATGGGAGTGGTGTACCCATGCTGCAATCCCGTTGACCTTGAGGGCGGTAGGGGTAGCAAACAGTACAACATAAGGTCCTTTTCATCTAGGTTCTAGGGTTTTGGACTGATGTCTTTTAACCCATACCATATCCCCGGGACTATGCCATGTTCCGTGTTCGGGGTCCTCTCTGCAGTGTGGTACGCTTGAATTAGGGGCCATATTTGTTGTTGTACTTTAGCTAAAGCCTGTAGCGTAATCAGATAATTTGGGGCCAGATCATCTAGTCTCGGGCTTAAAGTCCTTTGAATGATGGGGGGTGGAGCCCCATACAGAATCTCAAAGGGAGTTAGCCCATGGACATATGGGGAGTTCCGGACTCGGAAGATGGCCAAGGGAAGGAGTGTCACCCAATCACCGCCAGTCTCCAGGGCCAACTTGGCTAAAGTCTCCTTTAGTGTCCTATTTATCCTTTTTACTTGCCCTGAGCTCTGGGGGTTGTATTTACAATGTAACTTCCAATTGGCCCCCATAGCCTGGGCTAGTCCCTGCAGGACTTTACTAACGAAAGCTGGGCCATTATCTGACCCAATTGCCTCGGGCACCCGTATCTGGGTATGATTTCCTCTAGCAAAGCCTTTGCTACTACCTGACTCGTCTCCTTCTTTGTAGGAAAAGCCTTCACCCAGCCCGAAAAGGTATCTATGAATACCAGCAAATATTTGTACCCAAACTTTTCTGGCTTTACCTCAGTAAAATCCACTTCCCAACTTCTTCCCGGAGCCCTCCCTCGTTCCTGAGTACCTGCATGGTGCCCCTCCCTTCGTCCTGGTTTTATGACTGTGCAGCTGGCACAATCTTCCACAATTTGGCGGACTGTCACGGTCTGGTTCGGAAATCGGAACTGCGCGGATGTCAGCAGGTCTAACAATTTTCTCCGCCCCAAATGGGTGGACTTATGCAAGTTAATCAACAGGAATCGTCCGAGTTTTTCGGGCAGAATTAACTTGCCTTTCAGGTCACTTCTCCATCCGTTTTCCCCTTTTCTAATGGGGGAGTGGGCCCTCATCCAGGTAAAATCCTCCGTGGAGTATTCTGGTCAGGGGGGTAGCGAAGGGAGCTCTGGGACAGGCACGTCTACAGCCGCGACCATGGAAGGACTCACCATTGCTGCTCTCTTTGCTTCTTGATCTGCTCTGTTGTTACCGACTGCTTCCGGTGTCTTGGCAGACTGGTGGCCTGGGACATACATCACTGCCACTGCCTTCGGTTTTTCCACTGCCATTAATAGACGCTGGACCTCGGCCAAGTTTTTTAGATTTTTTTTTCTTCTGCTGTGCGGAATCCCCTTTCGCGATAGATGGTCCCATGGACATGGATGGTACCGAAAGCATAGCGACTATCGGTGTAGATATTGACTCGCTTTCCTTTTGCCCTCTCCAGGGCCTCTGCCAAGGCAATTAATTCCGCCTTTTGGGCTGAGGTTCTGGGTGGGAGGGCGCTGCTCCATACCGTATTTCCTTTTTGGTCGACTACAGCTGCCCCTGCCCTTTGGACTCCATCTTGGACAAAGCTGCTTCCATCCGTGTACCAGTTTAGTTTGCAGCTGGACAGAGGGATATCCTTTAGTTCAGCCCGTACCTGTGTAACTTTAGAGAGGAATTCTTTGCAGTTATGGACAGGTGTCTGTAGTTCCGGATTAGGCAACAGGGTGGCAGGGTTTAGGGTTACGGAATCTGTGAATGTGATTCGAGGGGAATCCAGCAAGAGCCCCTGGTAGTGGGTGAGCCTGGCATTTGTCATCCATTTTCCGGGGGGTTGTTTGAGGATTCCCTCCACCGGGTGAGTTTGAGGATTCCCTCCACCACCCCTGTCCAAAAGTTAATTTATCGGCTTCTCTCACTAGCATGGCGATGGCCGCTATGATACGGAGGCAAGGGGGCCATCCCGCTGCTACTGCATCTAATTTTTTGGAAAGGTATGTCACAGGTCTCTTTCAGGGGCCTAGTTGTTGGGTCAGGACTCCTTTGGCTACCCCTTTTTTTTATCTACAAATAGAGTGAATGGTTTTGTGGGATCTGGCAAGGCTAAGGCAGGGGCCTGTAAAAGAGCGTTCTTTAGCTGGACAAAGGCCTGTTGTTCTCTTTCCCCCCCATCTCCAATTCGGAGCCTCTTTGGTGGCCTCATATAAGGGTCTGGCTATCTCTGCAAATCCCGGAATCCAGAGTCTACAGAATCCTGCGGAGCCCAGGAACTCTCTCACTCCCCTAGTGGATGTAGGGGATGGGATAGCCAAAATAGTCTGTTTCATGGCATCAGTCAGCCATCTTGCCCCGTCTGTGATCCGATAACCCAGATATGTCACTGACCTTTTACAGATGTGGGTTTTTTTGGCACTCGCCCGATATCCCAGCTCACCTAATTCTGTTAGCAGGTGTTCAGTAGCCTCGTTGCATTCCTCTCGGGTTTCTGCCGCTAACAGTAAATCATCAACATACTGCAATAGAGTGACTCGCGGGTGGCTCCGGTGAAAGGGTTCCAGGTCCTGGCTCAGGGCCTCGTTAAACAGGGTGGGAGAATTTTTAAATCCTTGCGGCAGTCTGGTCCAAGTAAGCTGTCCAGATTGGCCCCCATCCTCGTGCCACTCGAAAGCAAACAGCGGCTGGCTAATTTCTGACAATGGAATGCTGAAGAAAGCATCTTTCAAATCAAGGGTTGTATACCACACTTGTGAGGGGGGTAGGTGGCTGAGCAAGGTATATGGATTCGGAACGGTGGGATGAATGTTCTCCGTCCACTCGTTTACCTTGCGCAGGTCTTGCACAGGCCTATAGTCTTTGCCTCCCGGCTTTTGGACGGGGAGCAGAGGTGTATTCCAGGCAGACTGACAAGGCCGCAGTACTCCTTCCTTTAATAGCCTGCGGATATGAGGGGCTATGCCTCTTTGAGCCTCCTCGGGCATAGGATACTGTTTCACCCGAATGGGAAGAGCGGAAGCCTTCAATTGTATAACTACAGGAGGGAGGTGTTTGGCGAGCCCAATTCCCGCAGTCTTTGCCCAGGCCATGGGAAATCTTTTTACCCATTGGGCCATGTCCCCTCCCGACTCCTGTTGACTCTCAAACAGGCAATGTTCGTCAACCAATGATAGGGATAGGACATGTATTGGGCTCCCCTCTCGATCAGTCACAATTATTCCGTCTGGCTCAAAATGGATATGGGCCCCAATTTTGGTGAGTAGGTCCCGTCCGAGCAGGGGAGCAGGGCTCTCAGGAACAACCAGGAAGGAGTGTGTGACCTGGTGTTTTCCTAAGTTTACCCTTTTTTTGGTAGTCCATGTACATAACTGTGTACCGGTGGCCCCCTGAACGACACTTGTTCGTTCCTTGTTCAAAGGTCCATGTGCCTTGTTTAAGACTGAATACTGGGCGCCGGTATCCACCATGAATCCCATCGGCTTCCCCTCCACATGTATTGTTACCCAAGACTCGGGGAGGGGGTCCGAGCCCCGTCTCCTTCAGTCCTCTTCTCCGGCTAGGAGGACTCTGGCCTGCTCTACTGCTCGTTCCCTTTCCCTTCTATCCCCCGGTCTCCTTTCAAACCCTCTTCTTCCCTTTAACTTAGGACATTCTCTCTTCCAATGCCCAGTTTCCTTACAGTAAAAACAGTGTTCCTTATCCGGGGTCCTGGCGTGGCCCCCTCCCCTGGGTTTGTCTCGGACACCCGCTAGGAAGATACGGGCCATTTCTCTTTATTGCTTTCGGTTTTCCTTAGCCTGGAACTCCCTGTCCTCCTTTCTCAATTTCTCCTGGGCCTCCCTGTCTTCCTTTCTCCTCCTTTCCTCCCTTTTTTTTGGAGTTTCCCTAGCGGTAAAGACCTTCTCTGCTATTTGTAGCATCTCTCTAATGGTCATTTCCCCTAAGTTTTTCTGTTTATTAGGTTTTCTCCTAATGTCTGGAGCTGCCTGATTAATAAATGAGAGCACCACAGCAGACCGGTGGAGCTCCACCTCAGGGTCAATAGGGGTGTACTGACGGTATGCTTCATAGAGGCGCTCTAAGAAACCGGCCGGGCTTTCGTTTTCCCCTTGAACGACTGCTTTTACTTTTGCAAAATTGGTGGGCCATCTAGCGGCCGCTCGGAGACCGGCCATAAGAGTCTGGCGGTAGATCCGGAGATGCTCCCTACCTTCTGCGGTCCCGAAATCCCAATCAGGGCGGCGTAGGGGAAAAGCCTCATCTATGGCCGGTTGGAGAGTTGTGGGTCTCCCATTATCCCCCAAGACGTTCTTCCTTGCTTCATTGAGGATGCGCTCTCGTTCCTCTGTCGTAAAAAGAGTATCGAGCAGCTGATGACAGTCATCCCAAGTGGGACGGTGTGTATGCATGATGGACTCCAAGAGATCTATGAGACACTTGGGGTCCTCTGAAAAGGGCGGGTTCTGCATCCTCCAGTTGTATAGATCACTGGAGGAGAATGGCCAGTACTGAAACTGTTGTCCCCCTCCCGGTCCCCCTTGGCCTACCATGCAGACTGGAAGTGTAGGGACAGTTTCCTCCCCCTGCGTTGATGAGGAGGGCCCGTCTTCCCCCTCCCTTTCTCGCACCCCTCGGGGGCGAAGTCTTCATCCTATTTCTCCTCCTGCTGCCAGTCCCATTGAGGAGGATGAGGAAATTTCCTCCTCCGGGGCACTGGCTTGGACAGGGGGAGTCACGTATGGAGGCGGCCAATCTTCTTCTGCTCCTGTGAGGGATGGGTAAAAGGGGGAACTCTCTGGTAAGACCGGAGATGGTAAGGGAGGTGCCCTATTCTGAGGACCGGTCAGGGTGGGAAGAGGAAGTTTCTCCTCTTCCTTTACGACCAAGGTGGGCGTGACTGGGGTTTTAGCCCCAGGAGCCGAACTGGAAGAGTGAGTCAGAAAAGCTGTTAACCAAGGGGGGGGTGTTTCTCGCCAGATCCTCCCAAACCATGATGTAAGGGACTTGATCTGGATGGCCTCGATTGCCTGGCCAGAAAATGACTGCCTTAACCTTAGTGATCAAGTCTAGGGAGAGGGAACCTTGAGTGGGCCATCCGACTCCGAAGGTGGGCCATTCTGCAGAACAAAAGGTGTTGAACTTACCTTTCTTGATGACTAGACCCGCATTTAAGGCCCTTTCTTTAACTTCTGAAAAGTGAGAAAGGATTAAAGACTTTGGGGTTGTTTGTCCCTGTCCCATTGTGGAAGGAGACTTAAACACCAAGAGAGATAGAACAAAAAGGGTAAAAGCAACAATAATTCCACACACACACAACACTCTCCAGCACTCGCTCGGACCGGTCCTTCTCTCACACTGGTGCACACCCCATTCAACCTCCTCACCGTCCGGCTTGGATATCAGGCCGAAAGGCGTCCACTTGACGGGTGGTTGGTCGATTAGCTCAATTAGTTCTTCACCTGGCGCCAGGATTCCTAAAATGCTCGAGCCCAAATGAGAGGAGAACCTCTCCCGGCAGGACCCTGCAGTCCTCCTAATGAAATTTTCAGAGTAGAACTCCCTGGGGATTGGCCGAATCCCCGCCGCGGACCAAACGGAACACTCAAGTTCCTCCAAATGAGGGTCTTGGATCCCCTCTCAACGCCTAGGACTTGGGATTGCCCCTGCTTTTTCGCGGCTAAGTTTTGTCTCTCAAGAAAATGGAATCTCACTGGGGCCTCCAAATGTTAGGAACAGGAGTCCTATTCCCCTGAGAGACAGAAAGCCAGCTGAGAAGGTAACCACCAAAGCAGAGTTTATTTAACTGGCTTGCCAGGGTCGAGCTCCAGCATGGACACGCAGGACCAGTCAGGAAAGCTTGACCCCCAGTCTTCTTAGGGGAAAGCTTATATAGTCCATTTCCAGCCGTTACAACAAGAAACCCGTGCATTTCTTAACCAATGATTTTGTAACATCCCCGCTATTTCAGCCTATTGAGCAACAGAACAGTAACAAGCATATTTCGTTTTATCTGCATTGGGCAGGCAGGCAGAACACGTCCTGCACGTAGCTCACATCTTGCATGTCTCCCCTGCTATCGTGTCTGAGTCATGTCCTGCTGCTTTGTTCATCTTATCTATACCAAAGGGGGGGGGGTGTGGTTTTGTCTGTCACAGCAGAGTTCAGTCCTTCTCATTACGTTCCTCAGGCAAGAGGGTGTTAGAGAGAATGAGATAGATATCATGGTAGGTTAGGCTGTAAGACTGGAGTAAATATTGAAATTGTTTGACATAGGCAGAGGGGTTAGGTGTGTAGGAGCCCAGGTGGGCTTCGATTTGGGAGAGATCAAGCATAGACAAGGGGACATGAACCCTAACAATGCCCTCAGATCCGGATACCTCCCAAAGGAGTGCTAGGAGGGAAGGAGGGGGAGGCTGGGCAGTGAGAGTGTGTGACCTAGTGGCAGGAGGACTGAAGGTGGGAGAAGAGGGAGGAATCAGAGCGGAAGGGGAAGTGGGGGTGGAAGGCGGTGTGGAAAGGGGTGAAGAAGCAGGAAGTGGAGGCGGGTTGAAAGATTGCGGAGTAGGTTGGGGAAGAGGAGGATTAGGAGGATTGGGTGGAGCCTGCCGACGTTATGGAGGGGGCTCATTGGCTGAGCCGAAGTCCGAAGAGAGGGTGGAGGTTGAGGCTGAAGGCTTTAGAGCAAGGAGTACATGTTTAGGTTTGCAAGTGGTGCAGAGAGCTGGATTTAGATGGAGGAATGAGAAGTCTTGAACATATGGAATCTCTCCTCATCTTCCCGATCACTCACAATAGTTATATAGATCCTGTAAGAGGTTTGGATCTAAAGACCTGAAGAGGGGCCAGTGATTTTGGTTATCTAAAGGATAAGTGGGCCAGATTTGAGTGCAAAAGCAGATTAATTTTTTTGGTTTTACGTCTGGGGTCAAACCCAAGGTGTCTAAATTATTGAGGAGGCATCTCAATGGGGAGTCAGACGGCAAAGAGGATGTAGAGGCACCCATTGTGTGGGACCTGGTCCCGTAATGGGAGAGAAGGATATTATGTACTGTGGAGCGTCCTCGTGCAGCACAAATACCCGACAACAGCACAAGGCCCACGAAAATCAATTGTCATTGAGTTCTAGTGGCGTGCTGGGCCGAATGGCCGAGGGCTATGGGTCACCTGGGCCCAGGCTTTTTTGATGAGCGGTCTCTGAGACCCACGACAAAATGGATCCAAGCCCAACAACTGAGGAAATCCTTCTGCCGCCTGAGCCACCCAAACAGGGGGAGTGTTTGAAAACTCCCAGAGACACTGAAGGGAGAGAACACAAAGAGAGCCCGAGAAGGGTATGTGGACTCACCAAAGAATGTCCAGTGTTGGATGCAAGCAGGGAGATCGGGAGGATGAGTCCTGGCCAGTCACGTCCTCAGGGTGGTCGTGGGGTGAGTTGGAATGGGGGTCCCACCAGGATTTAGTGGGGAGCCTCCATCCGAGTCATGGCACCAAAATGTTGGAAATGTGGACCCCAAAATGTCCATGTGGAGAGGAGTGATCTGGCCAAGAGATTCTTTATTGCCAGGTGGGAGAGGGAGAGGGCCAAGAGAGCCGAGAGAGAGAGAGAGAGAGAGAGGGAGGGGCAGGGGCTTAAATACCCCTCAGTGAGACTCAGCATGATCTGATTGGTTAGGATCTTATGGTTCATGCTGATTGGAGGTTAGGGCAGAAGGAGGATTCAAGCTAGACTTGAGGCAGGACCGTAACTCTGGAAAACAGAAGCTTAAGGGTACAGTAAGAACTGAAACCTATCAGCGCCATTATTGCCAACAGCAGTATCATTGCACTCAAGTTGGTGTGAGCATTTACTCTTGCAGAGTAAAGCCCACACTAGATATTTGTACTGACTATTGCCTCCTGCAAGTGTGTACCCAGGGAGCCAGTCTGAAGAGGAGGGATGAGGCATGAAGATTATCAAGAGTGCCTTTGAGCCAGTTGGTATTCATACCATCTGAGATATCCCAAGTGGTTCACAGGTCATCTTCCTAATGGAATTTGCAAAGCACTTAGTAGAGTGGGTGGCCTCTTTTCCCTGCTGTTAGCCTCTCTCAATCACTCAGACTTTCCAATCACCTAAGTAATATGGGTAGGAAAAGAAAGCAATGGGCATCTTGCACAACATCCCTCACAGCTGGGGGAGGCAGGTGCTTACTCACTATACTCTCACTGTACTCCATGGGAGAAGTCGCTGACTAAAGATGGATTTTTTGGCACTGAGTTGTGCCACCTTGGGAGGAAGAGTGGTATGAGTAAGGTGAAACTTCTTTTACCCTCTTTGATGCATCTGTGCCTGGATTTATTTTTCCTCAACAATCTCCTGGCACTTCTCTGCTGAACTCCCAGGCACCCATGCAGTCACTTTCATCCATGAGTAGTCATCACAACACACAGTCCTTCTGTGAGGAGTGATGATAGAAAGTTCCTATTTTACCATCCTGCTGATGTCACTTTTGACTTACAGGTTTGAAGGGTCAGTGTTTTTGCTTGGCTGACAATAGCTCTGTAGGGGGTGACTGTTGTAATAATTCAGAGTCCTTAACTTTAATCCAGTTATTCAATGACTACTGTTATGCAGCACCTCAGGGTGCCTTTTCCATAACCCTCCATACAGATCACAGATAATCTTTATTCATCAAGCTTGTTGAGCCCCAGTGTGTCTCAGGCCCTGTGCTATCTGCTGATAATGCAGATAGGAAAAGAGTGTCCTCTCTCCCTCAGGCAATCAGGTATAACAGGAATAGCAAGTACAACACGTGCTAATCACTGGAGCAAAGATTTGTAAAAGGAAAAGATCAAAAACAGGACACAAAATTGAGAGTACAGTTCTAGAGTCATTTTAGGAGGTTGGAATCATAGCTGTACCACATAGCAGCCAATGTCTCAGAATCTTTGAGCCTCAGTTTCCTTACCTGGAGTTGATAAGGAGACTCACCAATAGAAAAGACCATACTGCATGCACCACACCATTTGGTTTCCATCTTTGGCACAGGGGAAAAAACTGTTTCCTGATTTTCCTGCAGCTATGAGGGACCATGTGTCAGAGTATATGCAGAGAATGTGGGGGAAAGTAGTAGGATGCCAGACAGAGGCTCAGCCTCTAAAACATCCACATGATCCTCTACATACTCTGTTCCTTACCATGCAAAAGATTTTGGGATGTTTGAGCCATGTTATGCAAGGATCTTAGAACCCAACAACTGCCTGCTTGACAGCAAGCTGCTCAAAGAAGCTATCCAGCCAGACACATGTGCCTCAGACTCTGCATGAAATGTAAACAGTCTCCCTGCAAGTCTGGAACTTCTTATTGAGACAACTAGACCATCCTGGTTAATATATCACCTTAAAGGAAGACTTCATGAGATAAAAAAGCTCATTAAATCCTCGCAGATGCTGACTGCTA